CCGTTCGCAAAATTTTGCTTCCATTCGTGAACTCCGCATCGGGTGACGAACACCACCCGCGGCCATCTTCCCTGCTCTGACATGTGGTCGTGGCTTCCTGTAGGGAGGGGGACTCTCCCTCCAAACAATAACTGCCTCCCCACCTGCCTTCCTGTCCTCCATACCAGAAGTCGCCTCGACCAAGGTTAGTGTTCTCTCTCTTCGTACTGTACTGTACTTTGTTTCATATTTTTGTGGTTTTAAAAAAAATACATATGGTTCAGAACGGATTAACCGTATTTGCATTGAACCTTATGGGAAAATTTGATTTGGGTCGTGACCAAAATTGGTTGGCGACCAAATTCGTAGGGGTCAGAACAGATTGACCGTATTTACATTGAACCTTATGGGAAAATTTGATTCGGGTCGCGACCAATTCGGTTCGCGACCAGAGTCGCGGAACGAATTAAGTTCGTGACCCGAGGTACCACTGTACTTAAAAGAAAGAAGATCTGTAGCTCAGGGTCGAATGGTGGAGTCCTTGGGGTTCTCTGAGCTTGGTTGTTTTCTTGCAGACATTTCATTACCCTACTAGGTAACATTTTCAGTGCTAGAAGGGTTAGGGTCAGATTATCTTCTGGCACTGAAGATGTTACCTATTAGGGCAATGAAACGTCTGCAAGAAAATAACCAAGCTCAGAGAACCCCAAGGACTCCAAAGAATGAAAGCCTTGGAAGTTGCATTTTTACCACAAAGATACCATTACAGGAGGAGAGAAACAGGGACTTTACCGTCTCCATCCTTCTCGCCTTCACTTTCTTGATCTCCTTCATATCCCGAGCAAGCATCCAAGCTCCAGTCCAAGAAATTATCCAGAAGGCTTTCCTCTTGGTTGGACAGTTCAGCCGTGGGGGTGGTGACAAAGCTGCCCCTGTCCTCCTGGATGCTGTCTTCTCTTCTCCTGCAAAGGGAACACCACCATGAACAACCCTCTTTTGCAGAAGAGGTAAGCCCAGGATGATCTGATCCTGCATCTCCGGAGTCAAGGCCTGGCATGTGTGCACCCGCATGTGAGGAAAGTCAAGAGTGCAGCTGCAATCATGCCTTGCAAGCCCATGCAAATGTATGTGAAAAACACATTAGTTATGAAATGGTAATGGTCAAACCAAGGAAAATAAGTTAAACAGGAAAAAAAAAGATAAAAACTAAGTTAAGCAGAAAAAAAACAGAAAAAAACCCCAATCCAACACATTAATTAGTGATGAAATGGTAACTTGCATGGCATGACCGCAGCTCCATCTTGATTTTTTTTAATCCCCATCCCACCCCAGGACCTGTAATGTAACCTGGTTTTGTTACAATCTGGGGGCTGTAGGCACTAATCCTACAGCCCCCAGATTGAAAGAGGCTAAATTGTTCACATCCTTTCTAAAGCTTTGGGGTGGGGGTGGGCTTAAAACTAGGGACCTTCCCTGACTGAGACAAGGACCTGAACCCAGTTCTTTCCACTCTTAGTCCAGCGCCTTCACCAGTACTCCTCAAAGGCTCTTGGGCTGTAATGGTATGTGAGAAAGACCCTGGGAGACAGGGCCAAGAGACCCTGCCAAGGGAATGGTCAGATAAGAGACAGCATAGCCTACAGCTGGGTAGTAGGTGAGCCAAGAGGCTTCGAAGGGACTCTTCTTAGTTTCTTGGGCTGAGTTTTGGGAAACTAATAATCACTATAGACCAGTGTTTCTCAACCTTGGCAACTTTCAGATGGGTGGATTTCAATTCCCAGAATTCCCTAGCTAACATGCTGGCTGGGGAATTCTGGGAGTTGAAATCCACCCATCTGAAAGTTGCCAAGGTTGCGAAGCACTGCTATAGACCCAAGGAAAGGGAAACTGTAGGGCCACCTAGACATTTCCCAACAGCATCCCTCACCATTGGCCCAACCTTTCTCTTCCCCGAGACCCCGCGGGACCACAAGCTTGGCCCAGAGCCGCTGCTCCCCTTTGGGGTTGGAGATCATGATTCTGCTGTCCACGCAGCCCCTGCCTCCTCCCAATTCCATCAGAACCCAAGGACTGAACTCACCTTTTAGAACGTTTGCCTGATGGGGAAGTGAGGAAGGTTTCCACGGCGTTCACGTACGAGGATCCGGGCTCTGGGTCTTCCTGTTTCACTCCTAGCAAGGAGCAGAGCTGGCTGTAGCTCATCACCTAGAACAACAGGGCAATGGAGGTGGCATGCTGTATCCATCCTGGCATCCAAATTGCCCCTTGCTGCCAAGCATTTGGCCATTCTTTCTACCCACCCCCCAAGAAACACTCGCTTCTTCAATTGCTCTCGGGCTTAGTTACCAGATAGTCCTCACTTAGCAACCACATTGGGACTGGTAACTCCGTCGTATCATGTGACTGCAAAGGATTTACGGCCTCACTTTCCCTGTGGTCGTTATGTGAGACATCACGACTTCACTGGCGGCTTCTCCATTGACTCTGCTTGTTGGAAACCAGCTGTGAAGTATACAAATGGCAATCACACGACCACAGGATACTGCGACGGTTATATATGCGAGGATTGGCTCCAAGTTTGGAGCCAATCCAAGATTGGCTCGTAAGTTCAGTTGCTAAATGAGGTGGTCAGTAAGTGAGGAATACCTGTAACCAACATCTGCCACAGTTAGTGGTCACTGGTGCAATTCTATGTGTACTTGCATGGAAAGAAACTCATTTTCCCACTAGCTTACATCAGCTGCCCAGCAAAGAACCTGGATGCTTCAGAGATGTACAAAATGTTTTGTGCATGAACCCTTCTGTTTTTTAAATTTAATTTAATTAATTTAGTTTAAACATATACAATTCAGAAGACAATCTTTAATCTTTTTTTTTTTTTTAAACTGAAAAGAACAAACTAGAAATACAGACTAAGGAATAAAAGAAAAAAGAAATCTACCTTATATTTTATATTTATCAATAGTCACTGGTTTTCTAATGAATTCACTACTATATCATGAATAGTGCAAAGTATTATTGTAAGATATCACAAAATCTCTGCCATCGTAATATCTATTGCTGCATCCTTTGATTAGTAGAAAATATTGCCTTTTCCAAAACAGATGTGCATAGACCCTCTTGTACATGGAATAGACAATATTGGGTGGGCTGTGCCAGGATCAAAACACATGTGTTCCATTCAGGCATGAACCTGGAACATGAATGTTTCATCTGGACGCAGAAACCCAGAATATATGTGTCACAGATAAGTCATGGTGGTCAGTCATGGCTGGTCAGATAAGTCATGGTGGATTCAAGCACAAAAGGTAGGGGGGAACCTGAGCTGGCTGGTGTACAGGATGTGCAAAGGCAGAGGGAAAGAGGAGAAACTGCCTCACCCAACTCATTCCTAAGTCCCTTTTGGATTTACTCAAACGAAATCCCAAACTACCAGAACAGTCCAGCTCTCTGTTCAGCCTGTCAGCCCTTAGAGATAGTCCAGACAAGAAGTTCCAACCATGAGTACTAACACTACCATTATTGTAAGGTTACATTAACAGAGTTTTGCAGGTCTGAAAGCACATCTTTTCCTCCTCGCCTTTACAGCTCAAGAAACTAGGAAGGGCCCCTTCTGAGATGTTTGCCATGTCCCCATTCCTTCTGTGGGCTCAGCTGCCTCTGATCTGACCATTGTCTAGCCTGCAGCTCTTCCTCCTGTCTCCCAAGGTCATTCCCACATATCATTACAGGTAGGGAATCATAGCTTTGAATAGTCCTCCAGGTAGAAATGTTCTGTTAGTGGTGAGTAGGTGCTAACACCAGAGGGACTCTTTTTGCACAGTTCTTGCTAGCTAGAATTTCTTTTCTTGGCAGGGGAAGGGTTTTATTTTTACAGGGACAATATAATTTAAGTATGTAATTCTAACCATTCTTTCTGCAGGCTCAGCTGCCTCTTATCTGACCATTGCCTGGTCATAGCTCTTCCTCCTCCTCCTGTCTCTCAAGGACATTCTCACAGACCATTACACAGCTAGACCTGGCTTGAATGGCCTGGAAGAAACTTCCAAGCCACAATACGTTTGTTCCATGTGTGAACGAAAGCACATTTTCCAGTTTGTGCAAACCCTTGCAAATCTTATTTTGCTGCCACTTGTATCAGTGAGGAAGGCCGAGTTAAGAAGCTGACCCTGCAGGGATTCTGAGCGTGCTATTTTATCATTGTAGGGTCTCTCAAGAGAATCTTGGAAGCGTCATCAAAAGCTTCACTGCTCCCTTTTTAAGGGGGCCAAGGTCAAGTGGGCCTGTTCTGAGTCTCTTTTCCATGGTTTCCCGGCCCTGCTCAGGGCAGAGCAACTGTTTCCCAATCTCCTACCTCCTTCTCAAGGCCATAACTAAATTCCTCTATACAATGTTTCTCAACTTCAGCAACATGAAGAGGTGTGGACTTCAACTCCCAGAATTCCCCCAGCCAACATGCTGGGAGTT